GCGCCATTGAAAGCCATCCAACAGTTTCTTAATTCCAGGAATCACGACTTCTTAACATAACTGCCTGAGCTTAGGATGTCAGTGGTTAGGCAAATTCGTACAGTTTAGTAATCATAATGCCAAAACTAATGTTCGATATGCGTACTGAGCGAGAAAATCGCTTTGTTTCTCCCGTCTTCCAATCTCGCAAACCAGCTCCAATAAAGCGGACGCCGTCATTCAGAGCTTGAAGCTGCGATTTTTATGCACGACATCAACATCAAGATGAAAGCTCGTCATCCGATGATTGCTGATATATGCCCAGTTTGTCTCCATGATCCAATTGAACTAGTGACTGACCAAAGTTTGTAGTTATCACAAGGTCAGTGACCGCCCGCTCATGGAAAACGCGATGCGACGGGTGACTTTGCGTCTTCATCAAAGGAAATATATGAGTACAACTATTTCTTTCACTTTCCTGGTTTGCATAATATACTCACACCTAGAATATCCTCTCCTACACTTATAAGATGGATCAACGGGTCTCAAGGAAAGTGCGTCCATCGCGACCGATGCTGCAAAAGCAGTTTTTGGTGCGATTCTCACGATGCTTTCGGACGAGAGTGGCTGCAGTGGTTTTCAATTTCTGATCGATACCACCGTCCTTGACTGAAGCTTTTTCCAAGAACGAAATGCTCACTACCTTCGTCTCTTCATGCACAATACACGTACGCCGTGCACTCTTTTAATGACATACAGGGTGATGACACCTCCTCCATAAAACTCACGACGATAGCCAACTTATCGTCACCGACGAGATAAAAAAGCTCAGCTTGCTTTGCTGCAAGCGCAAAAGTCACGCCGATTTTCGCTCCAATCATCACGCCGAGATGATTGTTTGAATTGCTTAAAGCTGCCCGCCACGCCGGTGCGTACCCTTGATACAACAATATATGCGGGCTTTTCGTTCACATCAAAAGTGAAACGAGTCTCATTAATTCGGTGTGCAAGCACTTCAGCTACACACAAGCCACCACTACCCGGGTGTATCGCCTGCAATATCAGCAGAGGCGGCGGAGGAAACTCTCACCCACTATGCGGGATGTACATTGGGTACCAGAAGCTGGCAAGCCGCTTCTCATCATAGTCAATTTGCGCACTCAATCTGTAAAACACTATAGTTCACCCATTATAAAGCGCTACAAGCCAGATTTATTATGGCGAAAGTCTCTTGAAAGCGTCGTCTCATGCTTCACTTCAAAATGTCTAGATAACGAAGCAAACGTCGAGGTGACATTTGCCGTATTTTTCTTTCTATTTACATCCCCGCTCGGCTCAATAGAATTAGCTGTAATGACGGTCTTATTACCGTAAAATCGGTCGTATCTCATTAAAGCGAAGCGCTATGCAACGGGTGCCCCTTATCGATGCAAAGTGTGCGCTAGATGGTAAGGGGTAGCGGCTTTAAAGCGATTTATATAAGTGGAACATTATATTCTCATTAGATCTGGAAGTGATGGTGTGCAAGTGACAAACATAGTACCCGCCGGCCCATCAAAGATTTGCATGAAATTGCATAACCTTTGATCATAGAGCAGCGCCAGTAAAGGTCGATCCATCCGCGACTGGCTCTCGTGATCTCTCTCGGTTGTCATTCATTGTTAGTGACTCTTGCAAAGTGTTTTTTCGGTGCAAACGAAGGACCAGTTCTAAGTTGTTATGTCGGTAAATACGGCGTTCATGCAGACCCAGAAAATGTCAAAGTAATCGTGGAGTGGCCAACGCTACGGTATCAAAAGGATCTGAGAAGGCGGCACATTGATTTCTTACGTGCACCTGTCATTTAGATGACTTAGAAATTGGAATAGCTCTCTGAGCTTTGCCATTGCACTGCTTACCTGGAGGCTCCAATAACGCTCAAACGGCCTTACAAGAGGGTGACTCATCTTCAACCAATGGTGGAGACGCTTATCAGTTGCCTTCACATCCGACCGGTCCATAACCTGGGATCTTTACGTGATCGCAGTATGATGCTGGCAACAACTTATATCTTCTTTAAATCAACCGAGAACGGTTGATGTAGCATGGTTGCAAATGTTTTTTAAAGACCACAGACACTATCAATGTAGTCATTTCAAATGCCTTTCCGCACAACGTATTCATTGTGTTTTGCATGCGTCTAACATCGGCGTGCTACTTTTATTTGTTTCAACTTTGGTTCGAAGTGTCACGCGCCCTGCGCATGACGCTTAACCTTAGCAAGATAAGTACTGCTTTGCAACGAAGTACAACCAGACTGGAATAGGTAAGTCGGTCCTGGTCTGTGGCCTCTCAGTTAACTATATCCATAGTCTACACATGGCGGTCAACCACTTTGAAAAACTCAATAATCATTAAAAATCAGACAAAGCTTGTAGAGGCATGTGCTGTGACAGTCAACGCAAACCCAACAAGTGAGATAGCATGCTTCGGAACCGCGTCTCATCATTTTGGAGCCTACCCCCACACGCAATTTATGCAATCTGGTGGTAAATTTACGGAGATATATCACATTTTTCTGCATTTGGGGTCCCCATCTCGAGGTAAAATTAACGCTGGTATCATTTGAGTCTGTGCTGGTGTACAGTAAGCCTTGGGATAGAAGATAGCAATACAAATGTACAGCCGCGTGCTTTAGTAAAGCAGCATCTGCGTCTAAAACTTCCTTGCTTTCCAAAGCTCCCAGATGCGCAACATATATTGCGCCTGACCTGTACGCTATGCGTACCATATTATCCATTGACGACGTCACCATTTCAAAGTGCGACACTCTATATCAAATGCGACACTCTATATCAGGGCGGTGGTCGCCACCTCATTAAAATAACCCCGCTTATTCCTTATCTCAATGGTATGCTCGGCAAAGAAGGGATAATATCTTAGCAACTATACACTGCATTAGCACAAAATACTCAGTGCAACGCAATAAATGCATCAAATAAAACTATATTCTTATGCATAGCATATGAATACAACCTGCGATTCTCTATGGGAAATGTGGAGATAACGTCGCGATGTGCAACGACGCATGACCTATATAGATGACAAACGGCTAAATAGTGCATTCGAAATTGACAAAGGCATTCTTCATTGCAAGTAGCTCCTTGTGTAGTCATCCATATCGAGTATTAAACGCAATCACACAATCGTACATATCGGCATCCACTAGGGTAAAGTATAGCGTATGGCAAAGGCTGAAGCGTCTTAGATGGTAATGAATGAACTACCCGGATTTATGAGAGACGAAGTTGGGGCACATCAAGCTGTTCTTGCATCCTTAAAATCTGATTCTTCTAACGTATTGCAGCACCTTTCAATAATCTCAAAGAGGGAATTGTAAGCGACCGCGTCATGTCGACATGATTTGCACTAACCTTGTAAGTAGTTCCCCGGTCAAGCAATTGTCTGTTCTTTGAACTGAGGTCCCAGCCAACCTATGATGGTCTTGATCCTTGCTAGATCTGCATGCAAGCACTTCTCCCCACTGAAACACCCCCAAAAAAATGTTTGCGACTGCATATGATCGTATGACGCTGATCGTTGGCACCGGGGTAAATTGTTTACCAGTCTGCAATATATGTTTATGTTTTTTCGCTTTATATGTTCTATATGTAGTTTGATAGAATAGCCTAGGCAAGGTATGGCTTTATACATGATCCTTCGTAAAAGCAGTTCTGTTGTTCTTTTCTTCCTCTTCGTGTTTTACATGGGAAAAAGCGTCAATGACTTTAAACTTCGTCTTGGGGAAGGCCACTGTTATGTGGCACAATATTTGGCCCCAACAATGTCAAATTTCAGCATACCTTTTTTGTATGCAGCGAAGCATCCATGGTGGGTCTCTTGCTACACATCGTCATATTCCATCGAAATATGATAAAAGGCTATGTAGAATCCTTGAATATATTCGACCCATTCCTCGTACTCATTAATCTAAAGTGGCTTCATGAATAACGATTTATGATGAATGATAAGACAACCTTCTCTTTGGGTAGCCATTGTGCTGCTTCGGCGACTTCATCGTCGTGCGAAAATTCTAAATCCCGAGTGATCATGCTCTAGCTGCATGAAAGCCTCTGCCAGAGGTAGTGAGAGGAGACTTACAACGCTAATTTTGTCTCGAACACTCCGTAAACATTTGAATAGTGCATCTCGTCAGAAACAAGTTGGACCTCACTGATCTGCACGTCGAGTTGCCAATCTGTAGAGCCGACTCAGTTGTACCATCACATCGTGACTAAGTTGACCTGACCCCTATTAACTTCAGACTTATTGGAAAAGCTCAAGATTATTCATCAACCGTCAAGAAAGGTAAGAAATTAGCAGACTTCGCTTTGGAGCAGAGAGCTGATATCACCGCTTTGATGTCAGACCCTAAGCCCAAAACAAATAATACTTTACAGAGTGAATTATGACAGCAGCATTACGTCAATGATTCAAAAGTGGTAATAACTCGATTGATTATTATGTTTAGTTTTACAATCTCGGCCTGAGGCCAGTGAGCTGTTGTCTCCTGTGGTAGGTTCAATGAAGATAGAAGCTACTGGGTGTCACAATCTCTTGTGCTGGAGCCGATGAAGTTAAAGCGCAGCTGTTTGTCTCGGAAGAGGGAATAAATATGTCATTTCAGATCTTCCCGTGTTAGGGAAGCCTGTATACTTCATGTGAGGGCCCATCATTTCGCGCACCTTCTAGTTTGGCGATCGACGCGCTATTGCTCAGTTCGAAGCATGGTTGACGTTACGGCCATCTAATCGCTGCAAGCAGTTATCTGAAACGACTCTCTGGGGGGTCAACAACACTTGCGCTAGTGTTGACGCCAGCGGAATTCGACGTGGTTTGGTGAAGTTCTGCTGCGAAACTAAGTAATAAGTAATATCCGATGTATACGAACTTCATGCCATTTACGTATAGATCTTGAGGGCAGGTCTGCCAGTCACCAATCGATTTAAGAAAAATCAACGCCCAGTAGAATCTCGCTCTCACTAGGCTTGTGAGAAAGCGTTTATTTTGACGAAGACGCATCGCTGGAAATATGTCACCAAGGCTATGACGAGCGATCGAAGACGCGGAATGTCATCGAGTGGTGGTGATTCCACAAGAAGTGAAATGACAATACACATGCCTTTGAGCACCCACAACACTGGAGGATCCATGGGTGATAAGCTACGTTCGTCACTCGTATTGATACAAAAGATGTGAAGATTCGAGACATTATCGGACTGGTAGAAGCGCACAGCTTTCTCATGTGTCATCGGCTTTCTCACTGAAGGCTTAAGCTGCACATCTGAGAGTTCACGCAGAGCCGACCTAGTATTTATTGCGGCAAGTACCTCTACGCCCACGCAGAAACTGTCCATCTGCTTACTTGTGCGATGGACGTAGCTGTAAGCCCGACGGATCGTGGAGCGTGTAGTTGTCGCTAGTCACCTTCGTTACCCCAAACGGTCATAAGAAGCGCAGCGTGAGCTTGTTTATGCTGAGTTTAACATCTACAGAAATTTACAATACCAGCAGTCGCCAAGAGCATTTAGCATTTGGACTGTACATATGGCCGTGCGCTTGCAGCCATTCTTGTCGCTGTATTTCTTTTCGCTGCGTCCTACATCGCGTCTTGAGCATAATAGGAACTGCTTGCCACTGTAAAATAAAGTCGGAGAAGACTGCATAGTCGATTAATTGACGTACTTGATTTGTTATCAAGCTCGCAAAATTCCATTCAGATCGTAGCTACTGCAAGGTTACGGTACGAACTAGTCAATCTTCAACTGGTAATGCGACACCCACTGCATACCCAGAATGCACCAAAACACATAGTATATCTTAATCACGAAAACATTGTCACTGCTTCAAAATCCTTCAAACTTAAACGGCAATATCAGCTCAAGCCGCGTGACGCTGCGACATCTCTATCGTCTATTTGAAAGCAATCGTTCCTGGACTGTTGCTAGCAACAAAATCCGGTGAAACTATGGTCAAACATGCCGCGCATAGAAAGGTTTTGGCTGCTTATGAAATCAGAAGCGCGCGAAATGGTTACCGGGCTACGGTAACGTAAAGCATGACGATGACTTATGTCGAGTTTCCCGGCCTGATGGTAGCATTGAAGTGTGCATGGAGTACGGGACGGCTCACAGGATAAATTGCCACCGTGGAATCCGGACCTTCATTCTAGGACGACCCGCATCTACTGACTCTCACCGATTTTGGTTGGTTAGCGCTCGTAACAGCGGAGTGCTGTATGATGACCGGGTTATAGAATATAGAGAACGACCGACCTCAAGCCCAGTGTGATTAAAGACTTTGGCGGATGTTCGACGCATTGGCAGCGTCGATCTTTATATGCTGTGTGCATCTCCAGCAAATACTGGGTGGGTATATGATGCCGTCACAACATAGTCAACGCGTATCGCAACGGCGAGCGTCTCGTGAAGCGTGGATAGCGATGCCCTCATAAGGCAGTATCCCCTCTGACTTCGCCCATGTCAGCCATGACAGCACGGACCAGGAGGCATGTCTACAGATTTGTGTCGTATACATAAGACACGAAGTGCCGCGTCTCTTGGACATTGTCGCGCATACTTAATACGTAGCCAAAGGGCCAAGAAGGCCTCGCAATAACGGAAACTATCCCGAGGCGGCTTGAACGCTAGTCGCAAATGAGTGAGAAAAATGTTGCTTTCGACGACCAACTTGTCGAGGGTTCTTTCCTTTGCCTTCCCTAACAGCGACCCGAGGAGAAAATAAACCTTTGCAGACGGTGTCTAGGACGACCTTAAGGTAATTGTGATGCTAAACTATCTGACCTTGAGCTCAGGTGATGTCAATCTTTGCGGAAACCAATATTGCGGGCATCACCATTTTGTCGACGTCATCTCTAAAGTTACGTTAATGGGTCGACGCTCGGCACATTGCAACGGAGAGCTCGCACTAAAATATTTTGTGTCGCTAAACGTTTCTGGACAGGCATTGTTGGGCTCAGCAGCAACATTGTTGCCAGATGATGAAAGTAAGCTCGAGGAAAGCAGCATGAGCAAGGTCTTTGTCTACATCAAACATGGTCTTTGAATGGACTACGAAGACTAACCAGATGTATCTAGCGAGATATATCAAAGACGTTACTATAAGTTTTATCCGTTAGCTATCCCAAAGAGGAATACACAAGAATAGACCGAGTAGCTGTTTAAATGCGCTGGTGAGACACCTCCACGAGTGTTACAACTAGGCGTCTGCGGGGAGCCATTGCCGCTCATTTAAATTTATTCCTTTAAACGTTCGGCCCTTTAAAAGCAGAAATTCACTTTAGATGAAGAGTCTCATCGCCGGACGTGGTTTGCATCAATTGCAACGCCAGCGTCTTGGTATAGCGAGTGTCGTCGACAACGTCGCTGTTGTCTCCGCTATCGATCAGACGTCCTCTCTAATGTTCTTGTCCATACTTATGTTGCGTAAGTGCTTGAGGGTGATATAGTGAGTCTCTTCATTACATACGTAGGCTGATTGCTCGATAAGTAGGTGCGGTCACCATGAGCTTTGTTGCTGTCATCCTTTTGGCTGGTAAATGGCAATCCAGTCCAAATTTTAAGCAGCTAGATGATGATGGACAACTAAGCAGCTAGATCTTTCGCATTGGTCTGGAGATATAATCAGAGTTGAAACTTCCAGAATCTAAAGCTTCAGTCGATCTGTGTGCCTTCTCAACAATCCTGTGTTCTTGAGTATCGCAGTGAATACCTATCCCGTTACATAGGTAGCTATGACTCAACCACGCACATAGATTGTGTTCTTGTAACGGGATTTCACGTTGACCTGGTAAGAATGGTGTGGGTCACACAAGATGGTGTGACCACACAATGTTGTGGCTACGCTTGAACAATAGTCAGTACGTGGCTGGAACAGCCAGTAGTTGTACATTAAATCTAATTCAGTCTAACCACATAGCTAGAAAAGCCTATATATTTAGATATAGGCTGTAACGGGGTTACCTGTAATCTGGTAACAGGTGTGTGTGTGTCACACGAGATGGGCATGATGTAACTGCACCCAAACAAGAATACGGTATGTGGCTAGGTAGCCAGTAGTTATGCATGTA